CATTCATGTGTCAAAATCATACCGTTGAAATTTGTGCATTTTAATGTATGTAAGTTTTACCTTAAAAGAAGAACCACAAAATAAATTAATAGTTGAGTCACAGTTGGAGAGTAGGGGGTGGCACAGATGAAGCAGGAGGGGCAGAATGTTGCTCATTGCTGAGGCTGGGTTGTGTGTACAAGGGAAGCTATTATGCTCCTCTGTTTACCTTACGTATGTTAAAAGATTTTCAATAATAAACAGCACAGGGAGCCCAGCCCTAAGGAAATTAGACATTAGCCTAATCGGTTTTAACCGGGGAGAGGGAAGGCTCTCAGTTTCAACACCTGAAGTGGGAACTCCAGGTGGGGCTCAGGAGGGAAAAGGGGTTCTGGGTACCATATCATGAGGACCTTGTGGACAGAGTGGTACAGATGAATGGCAGAAGGGGGTGGAGAGTGACGAAACTGTCTACTTCACATCCTCTTACCCACGTCGCTCTCCCAGTGGGTACTCTAGGTCAGAGCCCTCTTCCACATCCTGAGCCTCAGTCGATTCCTATGCTGATTTGTTACAACTGATGACATGTGCATGCCGAGCCTCAGTTTCCCCAGCTCTCTCACAGAGCAGTAGTCAACTTCTCTGTAGTAGTCAACTTTCTCCTGAGGGGAAAGGGAGGTTTTAGGCTGAGGGTCTTCTAGCATCCTGGTAGGAGGTAGCTGGACACACGCGTGCGGTTGGGCAGATGAATGCCAACTGGGCATTCCTTCATAGTCATATTATTTTAACATTAGCTTAACATTTTCCTAGTGGAGATAGGAAGAAACAGATTTTCTTCTGAGAAAAAAAAAAAGATGTCATATCTCCTTCTTTTTGTTCCAATTAAGAGATTAACTGCATTTCATTTACTAAATTAGAGAACTTCTTGGGAGGCATGGTAAAAAAAATAACAACAACAAAAAATCATGGAATCTAAATAATAAACTGCCTCTGCTCTTCCTGGTCAGAACAGCTACTGCCTGGGCATGGATCCGTCTCTCACACTGCCAAGCCATCCAACAGGATAGGTCAGTGCCTGTGGGCTTCTAAGTTTGCATCTGAGCCATCTCTCTGCTGTCAAGAGTGGGCTCCGGTCACCCGTTACGTGTGGAACCACATGAGAGGCTTGAGGGAAAATGTTGCAAAAGTGATGTCGGAACCAGACAAGGCCTCAGAGGTTCACATCCAGGCAGCCAGCTGCCCGAGTGGCCCTCCTGTCAATCCAGCTCTGGCAGTGGCCAGGAAGCTAGGACATCAGGCTGTGGGCAAGTGGCCCAGTTAACTAGAGGCCACCCTTCGTGTCATATTTTCACTTCCTATGACCATCCTTCTTGTGTGGGCACTGACAAGGCGAGTCTTGTCCTTCTGTCTCGCCCTCTCCATCATCCCAGTGAGTCAGCTTGGCCTAGTAGAAATCTTGATTCCAGCAGGCCAGGGTTCAAAATCCCAGCCTAATGCCATGGCTCATGTGACCTACATCAGTTTCCTCTTTGTCACACAAGGACAGTGATACCTGCTTGCTTCCCCATGTGAAATCATGTGTGTAAAGTATCTTGCAATGACTGGTC